CCCCGCCAGCCCCGGCTCTGCTCCGCCCGCGCCGCCTCCTCCCCGCCGCCGCCGCCGCCAGCTCCGCCCCGGGGCTGCGCCCTGCGCCGGCGTCACTCGGGCTTGCTGCGGGCTGCCAGTGTTGGGCGCCTGTGCGCGTGTAACGGGGTTTGGGCTTTGCGTGTACTGCAGCGTAGCCCGGACTCTGCGGTGTAGGCGGAGATCTGGGCAACGGCTGGGAAACCTCCTCTGGCACAGGGGAAACAAGCTGTCCTCCTGAAGCATCCGTAGAGAGGAGGGCTGGCGAGGGCAGACAGGACGGGAACGGTCGGGGAGAACGACGCGGCCGAATCCTGCTCCTCACGCTGTGCCCGGCGCTGCCGCAGATCCAAAGCCCGGCAGCGGCAACGGGTCGTGTGCTGCTGCCCGGGAACGCGGCACCCCGAGAGCTTCCCGAGCCCCGGGTCCTGCAGCTGCTGCCGCCCGTGGTGCTGCTGTCGCCGCTCGAGGAGCCCGAGAAAGGCCGGCAGCGGCACCGGGGCGGGCGGCTGTGAGTGTGGAGCATCAGGCTTTGACACTTTGACTTTTACACTCCTTTTTGAAGTATATATAAATGCTTATAATGCACTTCGTCCAGTCTTGTTGAAGATTAATGGCAAATCAAACAGTACTGTTTCAGCACAGATCTGTGAGAGACTCCTTTATTGATTCCTGTTCCCAGCTGTGCTCTGACTTGCAGCCACAACGGTTAGAGCACAGCAGATCGTCTAGTTTTCCACCTACGTTATTGCACACTTACTCTTGCCATAATTCACCGATTTAGTGGTGAGGGGTCTATAGGACAGGCTGTCAAAATGATCTCATCATAATCTAAGCACATAACATTCCCTGCCCTTAGTTTTTCAATCTTGTATGTGATTTGCCTGCTGTATAACCAGTCTGCCTGCCACCTATTACTGTGTTGTTCCTTGTGTCTTTGACAATGGCATCTGAAGACATTTCCTCTGAAACACTGTAGGAAGGAGTGAATGGAATACAACTGATATGTCGATCTCTGCATCCTTGGCTTGACAAGTCTGCAGTGTTGGGCCTTGCATTTAGGAATTGAGAAGCCCTTCCCTTATCCCTGAGGAACTGCAATAATGGAATCAGCTGGAGTGCACCATGCCCAGCTGTGCTCCGTGTGCTGGACGGAATAATGTCAGAAACAGAGTTCTCTCATGTGAAAAGAAGATGGAGCTTCTATGGAAAGGGTCTGCACAGTGTGACTTGGGTAAATCCACTGGTTCTGTCCGATGCAGAACAAAGATGGGGTTCCCAGCACCAGAAGGGAGTTGGGATTTATTTGCTGTCTCTAGACCTCTCCCTATTGTGTTTTACTAAATACAGCACTTATTTTCACAGTTTACTGCTGTGCCTTTCTTTGGGGATCTGGAAAGAATGCCACCCAACTTCTGGTCCCATTCTCTCATCCCTGGGACAGAACAGGAGGAGGAAAAAGAGTCCAGCAGAATTTTCCTGAGAGCAGTGTGAGAGTTGAAGTCATGACCAGGAGCTGGGCCTGCAAGAAGGGCCTCAAAGAGCTACTAAGGAGTGACCCAAGCTGATATTTCCCTTTCTTGGACTCTTCCAGTGCATTTTGCCCAAATGGATTTGTACTGACCAGAAATGCTTGAGTCTCTCTTCCAGCTACTCTTAGGGTGCAAGGACTAAATAAAGCATAAAGCCTGAAAATGAAATTGAACAGCACAGGAAAACAATGTGCTGTCTATATCTGCACTGTTTTGCATTCAAGCGGAGCTTCTTAGAGAATATTATTGTTGTCTTTTCTCCTCAGAGATCTCTGTTGTACCCCTCAACACCAGCCTTAAGTGACCTGCTTGCCTCCCTGAAATGAGGGCCCTGAAGCAACACTGCTGTAGGAATAATTCTTGTCTGCTCCTGCTGCTCCCCACACTCAGTGTCTACTCTGGGAGTGATTGTATTTCCTTCTTCAGACTCATTAAATATTTGCAGCACCCTTTATTGTGTCCTTCCCTGCTTCTGTGGAAGAAGGGTGGTTTCTTCTTAATCCAACAGCAGTGGCAAAAGCTCACTGGACATAGCAGTGGTTGTCTTAGGATAAGAGAAACAAGAAGATGTAATGTATGCAAAAGAACAGTTGAATCTGGCAACTGCCAAAGCATTTGGTCTAGGCATGTTTTTGAGGGATAAGTTTTCAAAGCATGGCAAGTGTGTGTTTCTCCCTGTGGGGAGATGTAAACTGATACTGAAATTCCCCTGCATTCCCCAGGCTTTGTGCACCTGCAGTCAGATCTCCTGCACTTCAGCCAAGCCTCAACAGTGCAGAAGGGCTGCTGCTGGGAGGTGTCAGGTGAGGCTTTATTTGGGGGATGATGGCAGGGCTGGATTTGGATGCAGGCGGGGGTGTCCCAACCACAACATTCATCAGCGCAGTGTCATCAGCAGCCAGTTGTTCCCAAGAGGAGAGAATCCACATGTTCCCTGTGTCTTGCCTTTCCTGTTGTTTTCTACCTAGAAGCCTTCAGTCACACCTTCAGCCAGGCCAATCCTGGCTCCCTTTTTTGTTGAAAGAAACACAGCATCCACAAATCATCTCATCATCTGTGAAATGCAGGGAATCATGGAATCATAGCACATGCTGAGGTAGAACAGACAAAGACATGTAGCCTTAATGGAAGCTAAACCACAATCCTTTTGAGTCCTGCCTCAATTCCAACACAGTCTTTTGTATCTTTTTAAAGAAATCTTGTAAAAAGTGGTGAAATGGAAGCACAAGTGCAGAATTCCTTTTGGTGAGTGTCAGAAACTACCATGAGAGCAGAGCACTTTGGTCAGTAAGGACAGGAACCATGAAATTCCTCTCCCAAAGGCCAGGGTCCCAGCACCACAGGGGAAGTGCACAGTGATATTACTGCTGTAATTGTGTATGTGAATCAAAGGGCAACACTGAGAAGATTAGACAGTCAGTGATCCTCAGATGACTGCCTTTCACCTGCAAATACAAGTGCTTTTCCTGATGACACAGAAATTCTCCAGTTTTGGGAACAATGCTTTACCAGATCTCAAGAAGATGAACTTGCTAAGGAGGACATACACTGGGGTCCTCAGGTGCCTTTTGCTTCCCACGGTGACAAAGGTGAGGCCATTCCCATCAAGATTAGGAGACATGTGGAAGAGAAAACAAAAACACGACCATGTGTCAACTGGTGTGGTCTGATTAAATCATAAATATCAATTTGGTCACCAATGTCCTGCTCTCCTTTGCTATGACTCTAGCAATGACAGCATGATCACTGCTGTTTCATTGAAGCCATTGTCCCCAGTGTCACTACATCGCTCCTACTGGTCTCTCTAGGTGTTCCCTTCTCTCCCAGTTGCTGCATCCTCTGACAAACAGTCCTCTGAAAATAGGACTACTTAATCCCAAAGAAGCCAACAGATTCCCATAGAAACTTCTTTCCACCTGAGCCAGAAGATGGGATGGCCTTATAGAAGCAAATGAGTGTTGGAAATGCTGGGGGCACCAGGGAAAGACTAGATCTAGGCTGCAGGCTCTAATCAGCTACACACAAACACATCAGCCTTCCCTGCACTTTTTCAAACTTTAGATGCCCAGGTTGCACCAGTACCTGACACCAGTACACAGATGGGACTCTGTGGGCTTTGGGACCAGCTGAACCTGTGCACATGGTTAGTCCAATTTTGTGTACATGTGCGCTTGTACATGCCATGTGTGCAAACACACAAATGCACCTGTGCCTGCATACAGGTATTCTTAGATCAATGCTCTTACACAAGCACATTCAAACAGTGCGCAGAAACACAAAACACAGAAACAAAAGCTCACACACACTTCAGGTACGTGTGTGCACTCATCAGTCATGCTCGTGCACACACATGGCTGGAGAAGCAGAACGTCAGGCCATGCGGAGCTGACTGAGGAGACACTGGGGACTTTTGTGATAGGGCAAGGCTGCAGTGCTCTGAGCAGGACAAGGCTCCAGATGAGCTGCCAGCACAGTTTGAAGACGTGCAGGGATGGCCCAGCGAGAGGAGCCCAAGGAGGTCACACAGTTTGACGGAATGAGGAAGAGAATTGAAACAGGTGAAATTGGTGAGCAGTCCAGCCCACCTGCCATGGCATCTAAACACAGAAGAACACTGGAGATGCTTGGAATGGAGAAAAAGAGGAAGACTTGACAGATTTGCATGCATGGTAGCCCCAGGCCAGCATCACTTGCCTGAGATGGATCCATCTCAGCACTTTGAGTCGTCTGCCATCATCGACTCATTCCTGGCCCAGAAGAGCTATGGCCTCTCAATTTCAGCACTCAGAAGAAGCCTGCAGGAGGGAATGGTTGTGGCATAAGCAAGGAAATGAACAAACAGCATTAAGGGAAGCAGCCACACAGCTCATGTCATGGACTGTTTTCCATTCTTCACAAGCACCTTAGAAAATTGTCACTTCCATGAAGGCTATGCCTGCACTTGGGCCATTGCAGGGTCACCATAATTCCTTGGATTCCTTCACCCTACAATCAACATCTCTCACCTATTTCTTCTTGGTAACCACGTGGGCCTGAAACCCTTCTCCCACATTATTTTTGATTATGCAGGTATCTTATGTGCTGGGTTCTGGTGCTGATTCTTATGGGAGGGAGAGGGTAGGAGGGGGACTGTGTCAGAATTTATGTGGGGCTTGTCTCAGACAGATTTTCCAATAAGAGAGAGACAGGAGCCTCATTGCATTTGGCTTTTCCTTTTAGATCATCTATGGATGAAGCAAAGACTGCATTTTGTCTATTTCTGCAATTTTATATGGCCATAAGTATCTTCCTTTTGACCAAAGGCTGAGAGTCTTGGGACTGTTTAGCCTGGAGAAGACAAAGAGGAGATCTTAACAATGCTTATAAATATGGAAATGGCAGGTGTCAAGAGGATGCAGCTCGATCCTTTTCAGAGGTGCCCAGTGACAGAACAGGTGGGAAAAAGCACAAACTAGTACACGGGAAGCTCCATCCAAACATGGAAGATAACTTCTTCACTTTGAGCATGAGTGAGCAGAGCACTGGAACAAGCAGCCCAGAGAGATTTTGGAATCTCCTTTTCTGGAGATATTCAAAACCTACCTGGGTGCTTTCCTGTTCAGCCTGATCTAGGGAAAATTCTCTGATTCCATTAGCCAAAAAAATGCTACATTGGTGTGCTCATGGGAGGGTGGTGGTCTGCTCCTCATATGTCTCTGTGATCTGCTTTCTCCTCAGCGTCTCTCCCACATACAGCTTAAGCCCTGATCCTGTGCCTGCCGTACCAGCCTTGTGGCCTGACCCTGCTGGTCAAAAGCTGCAATGACACAGTGTCAGAAGACCAACGTCATCACTGCGACCCCTCCTGTGATGGTCTTGTTTGCCCCCATTGACAGCTCATTCCTGAAGAGCCATACTGTGAGATCCTCCACCTCTGCTGCCATTGGCAGCATCTGCAGCTGTTACAGTTTCTCATCAGCTCCAGGTGCTGAAAACCCTCCTACATTTACAGATGCTGCTGCAGCAGATGATTCCCCACTCACTGAAGCCAGTGATGAGATTCCAGATCAGCTCCCCTGGGGACCCAGAAGGTGATGCTGAACTGAGGACTAAGAACGTGGCCATTGATGTCAGGAAGGCTGAGTGTCCAGTGCTCTCGTCTAAAAACAGGGCAGCTAGGTCTCTCTGAAAACATGACTAAAGCCCAATTTCTCTGTCTTCTAATCCCTCTTCTCTCTTCCCTTTCTTCTCTCCTTGTACACCTGAAGACCCCAAAAGCCTTCCTGGGGTTCTGCTGGCTGCTCTCTCTCTGTGGGGGAGGCAGACAGGTTATCAGCAGGATACCTGCAATAGAGGATGGGCACAAATTTCTGTCAGCTGCTGGTTACTGCGTGTACTGACAGCTTGCTCTCCAGATGAGAACATTTCTCTCTTCAGAGTCCTTACAATTGTCTGCATTCCAACCTTTGCCTCTACACGATCCTTTTTCTGCTGGTCTCATGTAGACTGGAAGAAAGGCAATCTTTGTTGACAGGGCAAGGATAAGGCGAGAACATGAAGGGGGACTTTCATCCTCTGGAGAGATGGAGAGATGTGGATTTGATAGATGGTGAACTCAGTAGAGAAGCAATGGGTTGGATGGTTGCAGTTGAGAGGAAGTGTCTGCCCTGGCTTCTCTGACAATGTGTCCAGTGTCTACCATTACACTCTTTTATATAATTTTATCTCAATTCTGTTAACAATCCCTTTTTCTCAAGGATCTCTTTTAGTTAGACCTAAAACGAGTCTTCTCTGACCTACTTTTGATTTTTTGCACCCATCTTTGATACAGCAGAAAAGAAATAGTCTTTGTCCCAGGTAGATTTATCTTCTGACCAGAAAAATGGAAATGGAACAGAGAACTCTTCTGGGAACTGTAGTCCGTTCTTCTCTTCTGAGACAGGTAACAAAACTATCAGCAATCCATAGAAGAAGAGAATTAGCTCTCTAACTTCAATACACTACACGATATTATGATGTGGAATACTGTCAACAAAAGTGATAAAACCATGACAGCCCCTCTGCACTGAGCTACGCTGACTTCACTTGCCTCCTCCAGATCTGATCATCACTTGAGCTGAGGCTTCAGTCTCATCACTGCAATTCTGCCCTATGAATTTTTGAGCCTTTAATCACAGAACTTCAAAGAAACCTTCATTAGAGAATGGTCACATCATTAATTTGGAAATGAAAAGGTAGAACTGCCGGAAACCAAAAACCAGCCCATGTAATGAGAAGGGACAGCTTGCGTTCAAGGTTAGATAGTCAGAAAATTAAGGCTTGTATCAACCGTGCCTGTGGACCTGCAGTGATGAAGGACCAATATAAAAGGCAGCCCAGTTCCCATCTCTTCCATCCACTTCTCTTGCCTTCTTTTGGTTGCGAACCAGGTAAGTCTGAAGCCCTCTGTTATCCTCTTAACTGAATAGAAATGTTATCAGATAGTGGGTGCCATGCTATGGGAGACCACAGTGGAGATGATGTCTGTACAAACTTTGCTTGGGCCACAGCTTACACGGGTTTAAATTGATGCACTCAGAAAGTCTCTCTGGGTCAGAGAGCTCACTGTAGGGTCCTGGCATACTGAAGGAACGTGACCTCCTTTCTCAGCTTTCTCCTCCAGCCTTAGTAGTTGTCTTGGGTATCCAGGCTGCCTCTCACATATCCTCATGCTCTACTTCCTTTTATCCCTCTCTCCCAGGTGCACCTCCAGTCCTAAGTCATGTCCTGCTACACCCAGTGTGTGCCATGCCGGCCCTGCGGCCCGACCCCTCTGGCCAGCAGCTGCAATGAGCCCTGTGTCAGGCAGTGCCAGGACTCCACCATTGCCATTGAGCCCTCTCCCGTGGTGGTGACCCTGCCCGGACCCATCCTCAGCTCCTTCCCACAGAACACCGTTGTGGGCTCCTCCACCTCCGCTGCTGTTGGCCGCATCCTCAGCTCTGAGGGCGTGCCCATCACCTCGGGGGGCTTTGACTTGTCCGGCTTGGGCAGCCGCTCCTGTGGCAGAAGGTGCCCGCCCTGCTGAAGCCGCTGGTCCCGGATAAATTGTTCCAGAAAACAGGAACGTGGTTTTGGATCAACAAGACATCTTCAAGCCCCTGCATTCAGAATACCTGACCATCCTCAGCTACTCTATGAAATGCTGGCAGGAAGGGGCAATCCTGGGCTTTCTGACAGCCTGCCTCATGTCTCAGCTGTCATTCCTCATTCCTACTTATCTCTGTCTCCACATCTTCTCTGATTTTTTTTTTTTTTTCCTGTTAACCTCTAGGATGTGAGATTCCTCAGAACCAGTCCATACTCTGATAGAAAATAAGCCATGTGCCCTGCATGAAATCAAACATGGGATCATGGGAATCCTGTACTGTGGAGCCTCTGCTCTGAGTGATCTCATTTTCCTATTAAAACATTCATTAAAACTTTCTGCATCTTAATTTAAGTCTTTGATATTTCTTCTGACGTGCACAGCCTCCAGAGGTACAAAGAGAAAGACTTTGCTCCTTGAGTGTATAGGATGAATGTTTATGGAGGTCCTTCTCCATTCCCAGGAGAATGAGAGGTAATAACACACTGTAGAGACTGCTCTCTTTAGCTTTGCACCTGCAGTTGAAGCAGAGTGTTTATGCCTACAACTGCCCCCAGAGAGAACACAGCCTCTGCAGCACTCACAGGTAAAACTGTGCGGAGGGCCATACGAATATAGCATCCTGCAGCCTCTGAGGAACAAGGCTCCTCCTGCTCTCATATGTACTGCCCTGGGGAAGGACAAGAGAGTAGGAGATGGAATAGGACTGTGTGGATGTAAAACACAGCTTGTGTTGTCACTTATGCCAGCCTACCTACCTCAAAAACAGCTGTGTCTGACTGACACTGGTGGCAGCGACTGGCTGCTACGGTCGCTTTGCTCGAGAGCTCAGGGCGGCGCACCCCGGTCAGGATGGAGTTTGGCGGCCATGCAGGCAGCGCCCCCTGCGGGCCCGGACGGCACTGCGCCCCCGCCCCGCCCCAAGCGGTTCGTGCCCGGCCGCAGCCCCGGCTTCGCTTCCCGTGCGCCCACGGCGCAGTAATACAGCGCCGCGTCCCCGAGCCGGGGCCGGGCGAGACGCAGGACGCTGGAGCGGCGGTCTGTCGACACCCACAGCTGCCCCTCCGGGTCCGGCACCTCCTTGGAGCCTTTGACAGCGCTGACGAGGAATGCGGGTCCTCGGCCCGGGAGCTGACGGTACCAGGAGATGGAATAGCCGATCTGTATGTTGGGGTGTGAGCAGGTGATGTTGACTGCAGTCCCCTCGGTGGTCTCTGCCGCCGGCTCCTGCTGCACCTGAGCTCTGCTCACAGCCACTGCCGAGAAGAAAAGAAGCAGCAAACTCAGAAAATCCATTTTCTCCCCCAGAAATTTCATGAAGGAGCAGAGAGGTGCACGAGGTCGGAAAGAAGCCGAACAGACAGAGGCGAGCACGTCTCCTTCCCCCCGCAGCCCCACCGGCGGCAGCCCCGCGCACCCAGAGCCCCGCGGCCCGGCACTGCCGCATCCCGCCGCTCCGCCGCCCGCGCTGCCTCCTCCCCGCCGCCAGCTCCGCCCCGGGCTGCTCCAAACCACCTCGCTGTCTGTCTGTCACGTAGTGGCATCTTAATTTACCTGCTCCAGAATACACCGTTGAGGAAGGTATTAATGGAGTACAGTTGGTCAGTAGTTCCCTGAAACTGCAGCATAGGAAGTTCCACACAAATGTGCGCAAGAACTTCTTTACAGTGAGGTGACGGAGCACTGGAACAGGCTGCCCAGGGAGGTGGTGGAGTCTCCTTCTCTGGAGATGTTCCAGACCTGCCTGGATGCCGACCTGTGCGACCTGCTGTAGGGAACCTGCTTTGGCAGGGGCTTGGACTCAATGATCTCTGGAGGTCCCTTCCAACCCCTACAATTCTGTGATTCTGTGAGTTCCCTCTCAGTCCAGCTAAATGTTTTTGATGCATGTTGCTTTTCCTAGCTACGACAACCACCCCTGAACTGTCATGACCTCTGAGGGATGACAGAGAGCTGCATCACAACAGCATCACCAGATCAATCACCTTGGATGCAACCCAGATCATTTCAAGGGCACAAGTATGTCCAACTGGATTAAGTTCTCTGGTAGGTTTTCTTCCTGTATAGGGAGTACTTCTTCACTACCATGTATTCTGTGAAAGAAGCTCAGGGGCCCTGTAGATCTGTCTAAAAGAGCTATCATGAAAATGGATGAAAACCATGCATTCATTATATATTCATATATATATTCACTTCTCACTATTTCTGGCATCTCATGGTCCAGAGGACATACAATTTCCTTAGCTTTCTTTTTGCTGCCATAATAGATTTAAGGATGCTTTTCTTACAGTTCTTCCTGGCAAGTTTTCATCTCAGGCTGCCCTGTGGTGCTTCTGACTGTATCTCTGCTTGAGCAGCAATGTCTCTGGTTTGCTCACACTTCGACTGCCCCTTTTTTCAAATTCAGAAATCTCCAGAATTCCTCCTGTCCAGCCATACTGCCCATCCTGCATTTATTAGGGTGGCTAAAGTCACTGCTGTCTGGAAGCAGAAATGCATGGAAGAGTTGCGAGGGATTGTGCACTGATATGCAGACAAACTTTTGGAGTCCTTCTGCAGCACTGGAGTTGCCATTCCTTGCCAAGGAAATCAAACAGCTGAGACTTCAGCAAATTGGAGAATCCACTACCAAAGGGAGGTGTCTCCTTTAAGTCTCACACAACTTTTCTCCATCCTCCAGTCACAAAGCCTGAGTTCAGCCTCTTCTGATGAGCCCCTTCAATGGATCTAATACATTCTCCCCAGTGTCCAGAGGGCTGTGCCTCTACTGAAGCTCCATGTGTGTGACTGAAGCAAGGGTGTTGTTCTTCTTCCAGGATATCACCATCTTCCAGCCTCAACCATCCTGACTGCCTCTCTGAATGGCCTGTTTGCCGTCGACTCCACCTGCTGTGCCTTCCTTGCTTTGTGCTGTTGAGGCTCTAGTCTTAGACTGGGGACACCCTTGAAGTGTATCTGAGCACCTGAGAAGCACAGACATCCTGCAGGGATCAGGGTGTGCTGGCTGACATCAGACTCAAGAAGAACCAACATTGTGCCCTGGCAGCAAAGTGGTCCAAGTGAATTTGCAGGCATACTAAACACTCCATAGTCTTCAGTTCAAAAAACATCAATTATTCATCATAGTCTTGTTGTGTCCTCAAATGGAATGCATTTCCTAGTTCTGGGCTCCAAAACATAAGTTTTTAAATGTTTTTAAAGCAGCCAGAGGAGGACAGCAGAGCTGATAGTGGGGCTGGAAGGCATATCCTACGAGGAGAGCATGAGAACATTTGGGTTGTCCAGTTTGGTGAACACAAAGCTTTGAGGCAGCCCCGTTGCTCACTTCTTCTTATTAGGAAGGAAAGCAGAGAGGGAGGTGCTGGTCTTTTCAGCCTACTAACTGGTGACCAGACATGTGCAGGAATGGCACAAAACTTCACCAGATGTTCAGGCCAGATAGTAGTGATTCTGTAAATCTGTCGATCATGAAACACTCTAAGACTCAAATGGGAGTGTTAGAAAGCAGAAATTCTTTATTTTTGATGCTGGATGCATGGGGGATGAGCTCCACCTATCATGCATAAGTTTCAAAAAAGATTCTCAGCTTATATTCATTACTTATGTTACACATACACAAATGCTTTCCCATACAGTATAGAGATATTGCATACCTCCACATAAAATTATTGACATGGGATTCAGCCTCCTCCCACAAGTTCAATCTTTTTGTGGTGATGGTTGCACAAGCCTCTGGATGAAGTCATTACACTTCCTCCCTGTGTTCACTGCATGAACCCCATATCCAACAATGCTCAGTTAGCTCTTGGCCTCACTCACACAATACTTGCTTACAAAAAATGAGCTGATTCAAAGCAGAATTTCCCTCACCTACTCAATACAAGATGTTCAGCATATCACTGTTATCTGGTTGGTACAAGGGCACAGATTCTTCCTGTTATCTAAGCAGAGTCCAGTGTATCCAGCAAGGAGCATTGGCCAGCTTGTTGCAGCTTGCATCACTAGAAAAAGAATAGATTGATGTGAAAATGGTCAAACACTGGATCAGGCTTCATGGAGAGGTGGATGAAGGCCCACGCCTGTCAGTGTTGACACATTTTCATAATGCTTTCATTATCATGCCTTTCCTTGTGGTTAGCACTACTGGGGTCAGACAATTGAACCTGATGATATTTGCAGGTGCCTTCCAGCTCTTCTCTTCTCCATTAGCTCTGTTAGCAGGAAGACAGAGATTAACAGAATCTTTTGGTATCCTGAAGTGCCTCTGATGTGACCGGGACAGGTGTTGCTATGTGGGACACACAAGTCACACAAACACTCAGCTGCTGATGCATACATGTGGAATCATGCAAACCTCTGTACCCACAGGCAACTGCATAAATCCAGCACACAGGCTCTGGTTGTTTCACACCACTGCCCTACTAATCACGCTGACATCTTTTGCCTTTGCTCGATTCTTCCAGCACGTGAATTGAACGTTCTGCCCACACTGATGTGTGCTGCTTGGAAATGCTTGGGTCTTTCTTCTTGCCACTCAACAGATGCCTTCCATGAGCAATGGGAGTGACATATCAGGATGTGACAAGTAGCAGCAACACAGGAAGCCAACACACAGCCCATACCAATAGCTAGGATGTTTTGCAGTCAAGAGGTTCTTGTCACAAAATAATCACTGCTTCTAGGGCTGCTTCTGGAAATGGGACAGCTTGGGTCCACTATAAAAGCCTGTCCAGCTCCTTGCTCTCTCATCCACTTCTCCTTCCTCCATCTTCTTGGGAACCAGGTGAGTGTGAAGCCCCTTCTTGTTCTGTTCTCTTCCTTCTCCAAACAGAGGTCTGATCTTGGCAGAACTCTCAGCTGCTATTGGCTCTGTTCCATTGCCTGTTTCTGCTTGTCATGATGGAGAAGTGGGGAGAATGTCATAGCCTGCTGTAATCAGATGTCTTGTGGACTAGGGTCTGGGCAGTACTTGGATAGGTCCCAGTGGCTTTCATTGGGCTCTGTCAGGATGAGACCAAGAATCCCTTGGACATCCCTGAACTGTCTTCAGCTCCCAGCACTGCATGTGCATTGATTCCCTCATAGTGTGATGCTAGGCTGCTCCTCACGCATCCCCATGTTCTGCTTCCAAATAGGTGCACCTCCATCCCTGAGGCATGTCCTGCTGTGACCAGTGCCAGCCATGCCGGCCCTGCGGCCCGACCCCTCTGGCCAGCAGCTGCAATGAGCCCTGTGTCAGGCAGTGCCAGCCCTCCACCATCGTCATCCAGCCCTCTCCCGTGGTGGTGACCCTGCCTGGACCCATCCTCAGCTCCTTCCCGCAGAACACCGCCGTGGGCTCCTCCACCTCCGCTGCTGTTGGCAGCATCCTCAGCTCTGAGGGCGTGCCCATCACCTCGGGGGGCTTTGACCTCTCCTGCATTTCCAACCGGAGCTGTGACAGAAGATGCACCCCCTGCTAAATGCGCTGGATGATGTCCCAGGCAAGGACCCCCAGGAATGCTAAGCATGGACCAAAGAACAAATGTTGTGATGCTGGTTTTGCCCTGGAAGACAGACATGTACTGGCAAGCCTGGAGTCTCTGACAACATGGAGAATGTCTACTCATACTGTCTTTCACTCACTCTTTCTATCCAATTTCATTACTGTCTTTTCCCTTTAGACATGTCTGTTAGTATCCACAAAATGAACCCTGAGTGAAATTCTCATGTCTCTTAAAGTCTGTGCTGAAATACAGTTCTCTGTGGCCATGCTACCATAAGAAAGGGGAACTGATTCTTGTCTACAGCTACTGCTCTTCTTGCAATGACTTAATTTCTCCTCAGACTTATTAAACACTTTCTGCATCATTTAGCTTTTCCTTCTCTGCTGGTGGTTTTTTTTTTTCCCCCATCTCTGTAGAGATGGCAAGGAAGAAAGGGATGTCTTTGGTGAGAACAAGCTAGGGAGATTCTGCCACTCCTCTGGTTATTGGAGGTCATTGTACAGTGCTGGCATTCATCTTCCAAGCACATTTTATTGAAGGAGAGGAAGACATTCCTAGATGTTCCTCCTCCACCAGTCCCTGTCTTGCAGTGTTTCTCCTTACACAGGTATTGACCCTTGAGCATGCCAACTGAATGGAAACCTTGACAAATGACATCCTCAAGAGAAGATCCTCTGCATTGGAGAGTCTCTGCGAACACAGAAGTTTCACACACGCTGGGGAAATTCTGGCTTTGGGAGGAGCAGTATTAGGGAAGGAGACTCAGAGAAAGTTGTTTCCAAAGGCCATCAAGAACTGGGAAGGCATAGCTTTCTTGAAGTTGTACCTCTGTCTCTATTCCATTTTCCCATGCCTTCCACTCACCCCATCACTGAGGGTACAGCTTTCCTGTGTAATTCTAGCAGCCTTCAGCAGAGCTCCTGGCCTTGCCATACTTTTGCCAAGTTGTCTATGGTCGAGGGCTTCCACAGGGCGGTATTGCTACCAGCTACAGAAGTCTGGTAGTATTGCCTATCGTATTGCCTGTTGTACTGGAGCCCCCAGTCCCTCTCAGCTCAACACTCCCATGGGTGCAGCAAGGCCCAGGATAGTGACTCATGCCCGAACACTCATGGCTTCTCAGTGGTGTCATGTCTTCCCCAAGCACGGAACTCTGCTCCTCAGGCTCAGGAACCGCAAGGCCTTCAAAGTGCTGCAACCTTTCTGCACTCTACAGGATCTCTGTACTTCTCCCAGGCACACAGGTCATGAACCAGCCCAAACACAGGACTCACGCTGCCCCGGGTCCCGCAGCTGCTGCTGCCCGTGGTGCTGCTGTCGCCGCTCGAGGAGCCTGAGAAGGGCCGGAAGCAGCGCCGGGATGGGGGGCTGTGAGTGTGGAGCATCAGGCTTTGAATGGCATGGTTATAGATTCCCTGACAGTGTTCAGCTGGATCCAAAGCTGAGTCCGGATCACAGAGACATTCACACCGTAAAATCTCTTTTAGGGAGGATTCAGCCAATCCATCCCCACCCTCATCAGCCCACACACAGCCTGTGAGCAGTCAATTGGCTTCAGCTGCATGTACTAAATGCCACATTTCCCTCACCCTTGCCAGTACAGCTGGGTGGTTATGGGGATAAAAACTTGCCCTTGCCACGTTGGGTTGTGGCTCAAGAACCACCCCTGTTCCATTAGACAATCATGGGCCCCTGCTCTTGTAGCAGCACACAGCAGGGACATCTTTAGCCCCCTTCTGACTCCCCAGTTGGGCACCAAAACCACTCATGCCACTCTCCCCAGTAACTGGTAATTTCTCCATCCGGTGTGCACAGGACAGAGTGAGATGGTGCAGAGTTAAGAAAAGATTAATTGAAGGGACACAACAGACTGTGATGATCAGTCACATGGCTCAACCAGATCTGAGAGGCCCCTGCTGCATGCCCCTCTATCACTCCTCATATGTTCATGTCTTTCTCTGTATACCCCAACATGATATATTATAAGTCTGTCTCACACCAATCCCTGTCCATGTCCTGATTCACAGCTGCATCTCTTGCAAAGGCCAGGTTCATCTTCCTGGAAACAGACCTGTGGTTTCTAGATTCCTCATCAGCTTGGGTGAATGTGAGAATTTATTTCTTTCCATCATTTCTATGCTATCCTTGAGTGTCTGTTTGTCTCTGTATGCTGCTTGATTGGCTCCCCTTTTCTCTCATCCTGTTTCATGATGTTCTGACAACTCTTCCCATTCAGGGGCCCTCCACACACATGCTCATAGTGCCCTTTGTCCAGTCATGAAGAGCAAGTATGGAAAATTAAAGACCACTGGTACAGCACTGATCTGTGAGAGACCCTGTAATAGATTCCAGTCCCTAGCTGTACTCTGAATTGCAGCCACAACTGTTAGAGCACAGCAGATCATCCAGTTTTCCACCTACATAGCTATGCATTAACCCTTGCCACAACTCACTCATGCGGTTGTGTGGGGATTATACAACAGGCAGCCAAAGCAGTCTCACTAAAATCTAAGCATACAACGTTCACTGTCCTCAGTTTTTCAATCTTGTATGTGATTTACCTTCTGCACAACCAGGCTGGCTGCTGTGAATCATTGTGTTGTCCTTTGCATATTTAACAATGGCATCTGAAGATATTTCCTCTGAAACACTGTAGGAAGGAGTGAAAGGAATGCATCTGATGTGTTCTTCCCAGCATCCATGGCTAGACAATCTGTGGGGCAATGCATTTAGGAATTGAGCAGCCCTTCCCTTATCCCTGAGGAACTGCAATAATGGAATCAGCTGGAGTGCACCATGCCCAGCTGTGCTCTGTGTGCTGGAGGGTATAATGACAGAAACAGAGTTCCATCACTGAAGGAGAAGATGGAGCTCTCTATGGAAATGTTCTGCACAGTGTGACTTGGGTAAATCCACTGGTTCTGTCTGATGCAGAACAAAGATGGGGTTCCCAGCACCAGAAGGGAGTTGGGATTTATTTGCTGACTCTAGACCTCTTCCTATTATGTCTTACTAAAACCACCACTTTATTTCACAATTTACTGTCATGCTTTTCTTCTGGAATCTGTAGCAGATCCTGCACAACTTCTGTCCCTACGTTCTCATGTCTGGGGCAGAATAGGAAGAGGCAAAAGAGGGCAGCAGGATTTTCCTGAGAGCACTGTGAGGTGGGATGAGGTCACACTCAGGAGCTGTGCAGCAGCTCAATCTTAGGAGTCTCCTTTCTTGCCACTGAAAAGATGCCTTCAATGAGGATCAAACGTAGCATAATGTGGGCAATGAAATTGCAATGCACAGGAAACCAACGTACAGTCTGGAATGTTTTGCATTCAAGATGAACTTGTCAGAAAATAATCACTGCTGGAAATGATGCCTCTGGACATGGATCAGCTTGAGTCCACTACAAAAGGCAGTGCATCTAATTGCCCTCTCATCTACTACTCTTATGGCCTTCTCCATGGGAACCAGGTGAGTGTAAAGCCCCTTCTTATTGACCTCTTCCTCCAAATGGAGGACTCAGCTGCTCTCAGTTCTGTCCCATGCCAAATCTTGGGACTGCTTTTCATGGGAGAGTGAAGTGTTGAGAAGATTTGTCACGGAGGCAATCTGCACCTGAACTGAGAAACTTTATGAGCTAGAGTCTGGACAGTAGCTGCATAGATCCTGCTGGTTATTTCTAGGCTCTGGCAGGATGAAACCAAAAACCCTTAAGTATCCATCTCCCAGAGGTGTATATACCTTAGCTCCCTCATGGCATGATTGCAGTTTGCTCCTCATGCGAGATGCGCCTTCACCTGGGTAGACCTCCAGTCCCAAGACATGTCCTGCTACACCCAGTGTGTGCCATGCAGGCCCTGTGTCCCCACCTCCTGGCCAGCAGCTGCAATGAGCCCTGTGTCAGGCAGTGCCAGAACTCCACCATCGTCATCCAGCCCTCTCCCGTGGTGGTGACCCTGCCCGGACCCATCCTCAGCTCCTTCCTGCAGAACAAGGTGTTATGGGATCCTCCACCTCCGCTGCTGTTGGCAGCATCCTCAGCTCTGAGGGTGTGCCCGTCACCTCGGGGGGCTTTGACCCCTCCTGCATTTCCGGTAATGTGGCAGAAGTGCCCCCCCAGCCAAAGGTGCTGGACACTGCCCCAGACAAAGGCAGCCATGAACGCTGAACACGGCACTGGACAGAACAAGAAAGTAAGAGGCCAGACTGACTTCTCTGCCAACATGGAGAAAGTCTATCAATACTGTCTTTCCCTATCTTTTCCTGTCTAATATCACTGCTGTCTTTTCCCCTCAGAGACCTCTTTTAGTACATTCAAAACCAGCTGTGAGCTACCTGCTTGCCTCTCTATAATTCTTGGAGGGTAAATCTGGGCCCTGTGGCAATGCTGCCATAGGAATGATTCTTGTCTGTTCCTGCCACTCCCCACACTCAGTGTCCACTCTTGGGGTGATTTGATTTCCTTCTTCAGACTCATTAAATATTTGCTGCATCCTTTCGTGTGCCCTTCCCTGTTTATTTCTCCCCCCCCCTCCATCTGTGCATAGATCACTGCTCTAGATATTGCAGACCAGCACACACTGCAGAGATCTCATCTTTCAGGCACTGTCTTTTGAAGCAGAGTAAGTCATCCCTACTTACTCCATAAACAATGCCAGTTAGACCTTGCCTTGCTGAATCTCTGCTTAGACATGTCATAGAACCATCGAATCATAGAATGATTTGAATTGGAAGGGACCTTTAAGATCATCTATTTCCAACCCCCCCTCTGATAGGCAAGGACACTTCCCTCTATACCAGGTTGCTCCAAGTCCGATCCAGCCTGCCCTTGGGTGATTCCATGACAGGGGCATTTACAACCTCACTTGGCCAACTTGTGACAGTGTCTCACTACCCCTCACTGTAAAGAATTTCTTCCTGATATCTAGCCTAAATATACGCTTTTACAGTTTAAAACCATTTCCCCTCATCCTGTCATT